GGTTCTAAAACCTACCACAATAGCGCTAGCGTCTGAAAAACTATGATATGAAGATAGCTGTTGTGAACGGAGTGAAGTCAGCTGAATTCAAATATTTAAAAAATTTCATGACTAGAGTAGTTAGTAAAATGCCAGTATACAAAATCTGAACTATTTACGTAGTACAAAACCAAGCGGATTGGTCGGTCCTTGTTTATTTCTCCATCTTATTCTAATTACTTTTGGCGCTTTTTTTTATTTATTCTATGCTTACTGCAGCGCCACCCTCATTGGACACGTTTTTAGGGACACTTTTCATATATAGAGATGGTCCTCCTTCTACTCTACACTCCATAGCTCAGATAAGAAATTTTCATAGATTATTTAATCTACATATATATTTATCTATGGTTTGGTTCTGAAGGGAAACTGGAGGCACAAAAATTATAAAGTTGGAAAAAGCGCGGGAAGTTTTGAAGTAGGCGGGCGTCCTTTTTTGGCTAAACTTTTGAAAATTAAATTAATTTGATATTACAGGATCAGTTAAGTTGTAAAGTATATATATTAGTAGTTATTGTTTATTTATTTATTTACACACACACACACACACTTAACAACTATCCTTACAGGCTAAACAAACCCAATACGATAGTGTCACTAATTTACTTAAATATACTATGTATTACAACTAACTTACATAACTAACTATGTATAAATGTACCTTAGCGAGTTCACTCAGATTACTCGAAAATATGTCAATCCTCTCATGAACTTTATTCACTACTAGGATTGATCGGACTATAGGTGAGTAATTAAGCAAATTGGTCCTGGCCACGGACACCGCGAGCAGCGGCGGGCGGCGTCGCCTCCACACGTACCGGTCCGGTGCGCACAGCTGCAGGTGGCGCAACAACCCCGGGTTGCATGTGGCGCCAGGAAGCAACTTCACTACTTGTGCAGCCAGGGCAAACTCCCGTCTTACTCTGAGCTGGTTATACCCGACCATCCCCAGCACGAACAATGTGGGGTACCTCAAAGGGTAAAACGGATATACCCCATACAGTTTGAAGTATATGTGCCTCATAAATTTGTTTTGGACACGTTCTAGCATTAGGCTGTACTTTTCTTCATGCGGAGCCCATATAACAGCACCGTACTCCAAGTGACTCCCGACTAGAGCATTGTATAGTACTTTCAGTGTGGTAATATTTTTAATATCTCTTGAAGACCCTGGAGGGACATCCCTCCAGGTGTCTCATGTAGTCACAATCGATGCGTCGGGAATGGAAACGGAAGGTTCAATTATAGATACAGACTGTTCGGAAAACACGAAATCGGTTAAAAGAAAGAGAATCTCAGCTAGAAACCAAAAGAAGAGAAGGAATCACAGACCTACGGGTCTATCAGATTGCCAACTTTCCCCTAACGATTTAAAGGATAATGTTATTACTAGTGCTTGAGTCTGATGATAAAAACACTGAAATCTACCATAATGAGGCCGCTCACTCTAACATTATTACAAGTAACCCTCGCGCTGCTAGGTCGCTTTACCAGGCATCAGATCCTGCGCCTTATGTTGTCCATGTTCAAAAAATCTTACAACCAAATCAAACTGGATCTATTGACCCAGTACAATTTGGATTTTTCCTTAAAAAAAGTTTAATAAAAAGCATTGTAGAGGGAAGCATCAATAAAATTGGAAGGAACAGATTGTCTTTACAATTTGAAACATTTCAGGATGCTAACACATTTCTAAATCACAAATCTCTTGATGTTAATAAATACAAAGCATTTATTCCGGCCTTCACTATCACCCGCATGGGAATAGTGAGAGGTGTTCCATGTGACTGGGATGAGAAAGATATAATGGAAAATATTGACCTTCCGCAGAACTGTGGAAGTATTTTGAAAGTTCGGAGATTAAATAGAAAGGTATTTGATGGCGAGACGCCCAAGTTCATTCCAACTGAGACCGTAGTTTTAACCTTTGATGGGAAGGTGCTACCTTCCAGGGTCTTTATATGTTTCAACTCCCTATCTGTAGAGCTTTATATTTACCCCACGCTGCAATGCTTTAATTGCTGCCGATTTGGTCACACCAAAATGCAATGCAGAGGCTCTCCAAAGTGTTACAAATGTGGTGACAACCATTCAGGTATAAGCTGCGAGACTGAAAGAGATGATGCTGTGTGTATCTTATGTTCTGGTTCCCATTTTGCAATAGACAAAAAGTGTCCGGAGTACGCTAGGCAAAAAGCTATAAAAGAAACAATGGCTAGAAACTCTATATCTTATTCAGAAGCCAGTAAAGTCCATCCACCAGTTTCGAAATCTTATGCTGACGTTGTTGCTTCTGCTTCATTGGCTCCTTCTGCTCGAACTATTACTTATTCCAGCCCCTATAATTCAACAAGCCCTTCTAAGAGTCACACACAGTCATATAGGAAAACAGTATTCTCGAAACCCAAAGGTCGTCCCAGAAATACTAGTAAGGGATATGATCAAAAAGCGCATGCAGAGCTTATCCAAGATTACTTTTCTACAGGTTGTCTCAAAAATTACAAAGATCTATCAGAAATAATAACAGAGGATCTCATCATTTCTATAATTCAGTACCTTTCACAATCTAACCTAATTAAAATACCGTCCAACGATGCCGCTTCTTCAAAAAGTTTTTTAACTCATGGACAGTCAGGACCATCCACAAAACCAGTCTCTGGTGATTCAATGGAATTGCCGGAGTATTAATAGCAAAAAAAGTGACCTAATTTTCTTATTGAATAGTTACAAACCATTTGCAGTCTCTCTTCAAGAGACTTGGCTTCGTCCCGGACTCAACTTTTGAATTCCAGGACATATCTGTCTTAGAGAAGACAGAACAGATGGGTATGGCGGAGTTGCACTAATTCTTAAGGGCGGTGTGCCCTTTGTCCACATACCCATCCCTAATCACAGTAATAAATTTTCAATTATTGTTGTTAGTGTAAATAATATTTGTTTTGTAAATATGTATATACCTCACCCTTCCACTGAAGTCTTTGACGATATTCGTAGCATTCTATCTTCCCTCCCACGTCCTATTTTGGTCATGGGAGACTTCAATGCACAACATTCTATGTGAGGAAGTTCTAAATCTGATCATTATGGGGCTAGAATCTTAGACATCTTAGATGATAATAATTTATGCCTTCTAAACTCTGGTTGTCCTACTTGAAGGACTCAGTCCCATAAGGGTATATAAGGTCCCATAAGGCACCAGACCTTACCCTGTGTAGTCCCTCCCCAGCTCCTACATTAAACTGGTGGCCTCTATCGTCGTCATATGGAAGCGATCACTTTCCGCTAATTATATCATTTCCTCAAAAAATTGGCGAAAAGATGTCTAAGGCTCCTCCCCGGCTAAAATATAGACTTAAGGATGCCAACTGGTCATTATTTAGAGATAAAGTTCAACAAAATTTATCAACTATACCTCCACTAAATGACAACAATAATCATCTTATAAAAAATAATAGTGGCAATGGGTATATTCCATCACCTCCTTGGTGGGACAGTGAGTGTTCTGCTGCGATAGCTGAGAGAAAGATAGCTGAAAAAAATTACAGAAAAAATTCTACAACACAAAATTTTAATATTCTTTGTAATCTTATAACTAAAACACGTAAATTATTAAAACAAAAAATATTTGAAAGGGACGAAGAGAGAACGAAGTGTGAAATATGGGTAAATCAGGAATGTCTAGAACAGGTAAATGAAATTGTATACTTGGGGAGTGCTTTTAGCCGGGATGGAAGATGTGATTTAGATGTGGACAGACGTGTCGCTGCCGGGAACAAAGTCAATGGTGCCCTGACTGCGTTAGTCAAAAGGCAAGGCGTAGCGAAGAGTGTACGCCTTGCAATACATAACGCAGTGTTGGTACCGACTTTGTTATATGGCAGCGAAACCTGGGTATGCCAGAAGAAGCATAAAAGTAAGTTGAATGCAGTGGAGATGCGATCTCTTCGTAAAATGTGCGGCGTTACTATGGCCGACCGAAAGCGAAACGAAGAGATTCGCAATATGGCAGGTTTGAAAGATGACCTTATCACAAAAATTGATAAGGGCGTGCTTCGGTGGTTTGGGCACGTTGAGCGAATGAGTGAAGACCGAATGGTGAAGAAAATATATAGCGCGAAAGTTAATATTAAAAGGTGTCGAGGTAGACCGAGACTAACTTTCGAAGACCATGTGAGCAAATTGCTCGAAGAGGGTAGGGTCAAGAGTACTCCGATACCTAGACGTGCATGTATGAAGAAGATAATGAATCTGAAAGAAGCGAAAGAGATATGTAAGGATCGTGACACTTGGCGATCTGTTCTCTCTGGCTACCCCGTCAGGGATTGTGCGTGAAGATAAGTAAGTAAAAAAGATTCAATGGCTGGAAATCTTTTTGTGCCTCAATTTCACCAGACATTTCTCCATCTGAAGTTTGGCAAAATATTCGTAGATTCAGATCCGCTTTTAAGCCTCCAAGGTCTCCTTTTATGGATAGCAGTACAGTTGATTTGTTTCTTGACAAATTAGCTCCACCATTTGTCCCATCTATAGATAATATTTCTTCTGACCCACAGCCTTCTCTCCTCTCCCAGCATGATAGTAGCGATTCATTCATTTCCTTTAGCCTTTCAGAACTCAAAGGGGTTCTTTCAAAACTTAGGGACTCAGCCCCAGGTTGTGCTGGAATCCCATATTCTTTTCTTCAAAACTTGAACAACTTCTGTCTTTCTTATTTTCTTAGTTTAATTAATTCAATTTTAAGATCAGGTAATATTCCTCCATCATGGAAAATCCATGAAGTTATCCCAATACATAAGCCCGACAAATCGATTAATGATCCATCATCTTACTGACCAATTGCATTAGCTTCAGTTATTTCCAAAATTTCCGAACATTTAGTTAAAAATAGGCTAGAATGGTTTATTGAAAGTAAGGGGTTACTATCTCCAAACCAGTTTGGATTTAGGAAAGGTAGGAGTACGATGGATAGTCTCAGCATTTTTATGACAGACTTAAGATTGGCATTTTCGTACAATAAGTTTGTGTTAGCTGCATTCTTAGATGTATCTGCAGCCTATGATAATGTCAACCTTTCAATTCTGAAACAAAAAATGATTAATTTGGATATCCCACAAATTTTTATAAGATTCACAATCAATCTTCTCTCTGGTAGAATGCTTAAAGTAATATCAGAAGACTCCTACCAATCCCGTATTGCCTGGAAAGGTATACCCCAGGGCTCAGTTTTAAGTCCCTTAATTTACAATATATATTCTCATGATCTGGAAGCCTCCCTTAAGGGTAAAGTTAGCACACTCCAATATGCAGATGATTTACTCCTCTATGTCTCCGGTGATTCTGTTGATAACATGTCTGATACTATGACATATTCCCTTAAGTTGCTAAAAGTTTGGCTTGACAATAACTGTCTAAGCCTTTCGGTTCCTAAAAGTAGTATAGTCTTATTTTCACGTATGAGGCTTCCTCCTCCAGTGTCTGTATTTTAGGTACGACTTTCCATTGACGTCAGTGTAGTTTGGTGTTGATACGTATTTTTACAGAAAGATTACACTATTATAAGCACACATACGAAGTCTCAATATACGGAAACGTGTAATTTTTGAGAAAAGAATAATTGAAAATCAATTATTCTTGCAATGTTTATGTCTAATCTGCTAATAAACTGGCGCCATTTTGTAATGTCATTGTCGACGTCAATAGGGATGTCGAATCTTTCCGAAAAAGATCGATTTTTTAAATAGATTCGAATTGTAAGCTGATGTATCGATTCCCAAAAAATCGATTTCTAAAATATCTATATTTTTTTCATGTTTGCATTTATAATGTAAATATAAATCCATTTTATGAGAAAAAAATTCCCTTCGTCATAAAAAGATAAAGGATTCAGAAGGATTTCTGTATCTATTTTGAGACTGCTACGTCTCCGGCGCTGCGGGAAGAGCAGCCTCTACGCCTTAGCGTAACAAATCGCAGGCATCCCTCCTCGCCTCCGCAGCTTCGGCTTGTTGGTCGCCTTTGGCGACCAGCCTTAGCCGCTCCGGCTCGTCCGATGCCTACGATTTGTTACAACAGGCGGAGGCTGCTCCCCCTACGCGCCTCCGGCTCTATAAAACCACTCTAGGGGTAGGACAGACTCGTACCAGGTGGAGTCGGGGTCAATCAATTCGGTTCTTTGACATAAGTTGAACCTAACCTATTTTATTTGTTATCTGCCCTAATAGGTACTGTTAAATAAAACAAATTTCAATAAGAGATCATTTATCATGGTATCTTTCTTGTTTTTCATAAAATGGGTTTATATTTACATTATAAATAGAAACATTAAAAAAATATAGATATTTTAGAAATCGATTTTTTGAACCGATACATCAGCTTACGATTTAAATCGATTTAAAAATCGACCTTTTTCGGAAAGAATCGACATCCCTATTGACGTCGACAATGACATTACAAAATGGCGCCAGTTTATTAGCAGATTAGACATAAACATCGCAAGAATAATTGATTTTCAATTATTCTTTTCTCAAAAATTACGCGTTTCCGTATATTGAGACTTTGTGTGTGTGCTTATAATAGTGTAATCTTTCTGTAAAAATACGTATCAACACCAAACTCCACTGACGTCAATGGAAAGCTAAGCCGTATTTTATAATAACATTAAAGTGATTTGATCGCTTGTCTCGTTGGTCGTAACGCTGTGCAACGCTGCCGTCATGTTAAATTCCGCTCAGTGTAAAAAATTTTGATAAAATAGAATAAATCGATTGTGGACTTATAAACAATGCAAATTAACTATAAATATAGTGTAGTTTAAGTGTAAGTGTAGTCAACAAAAACTAATCATTAAATCACAAAAAAATAAAACGGTGCGATAAAAGTGTAACAAGCATCATGTTCATACGTGATAATAAACTCTAAAATTGAAAAGACATATAAAAACTGTATAATAAACCTTAAAAAACTAACGAAGGGTGACCAAAACAAACTTTTATGTGATAACTTAGTTTAATTAGTGATAAAGTGTAACAAGTGATTCAACAGTCACCCGCAAAATAGTGCAAAATACAATTGACATTACTCATAATAACCGTCTTCGACAAATTTAAATCTGCAATACAAATCATAAATATCATTATTTCACCACAAAATTTAAAGTCACAATAGCCTAGTGGATAACTGCTTTGGACTACATGTAGTATACTTTATCTAACATGTACTTCGTTTCCCAGCTGCTACCTTTTTGCATTATTTGTTGTTTATTGCTTCACTACAACGCCATCTTTTGACGATACCTTGAACTTGTACTATTTGAGATTTAATATTGATGTTTGCGCAGAGAGGACAACGCCTTGTGGATTGCATATAAATTATAAACAAACATTTCAGTAGAACCAGCTACAAATTTCACTAAAAATATTTGTATACGCATAGCCGAATAGGTAACTATGTCGATCTATCTACTTTAAGATCCGGAGTTCGATCCGCTGCTACCGACATATCTTATCTTATTGTTTTATTATTTTTTGTTATGGTATCTCTGATTTGTTACATTTTTTTAAGTTTATACTGATAAATTCCATATTTTTTATTAATTACAATGTCGTCATCTAAAGAAAAGCCAACCACTAAAACAAAATGTGACAAATGTAAGCAAAATTTACTAAGACGAGAATTCCTTACTTACTCACAATGCAAACTGAAACTGGATCTGGAATGTGCAAACGTTCCATTTGTGAGATTTAATATCATGGAAGCAGAAAAGAAAAACAAATGGAGATGTGACAAATGTATTATTAAAGCAAAACAAGTGCCTAAACCATCCAATGGTTCAGAAACTGCTTCCCTATTGTCAGAAAATAACAAAATTGATACCAGCACCGTAAGTTATGAAAACGTGATAACACGTCAACGAAATAAAATTCGCGCATCCTCGCTAGAACCGCAGGACAACACATTTGAAAAGACCATGGAAGACAACTCTTTGACTATACTCGAAGACACGCGTATGAGTCTCCCAGACCTTAACATAGCTGAACACAAAGAACTACGTGATGAAATCAGCTTCTTAAAAATACAGCTAGCAAGTGCCCATCTGGAAATAGACAGATTGAACTTACAGGTTACAGATTTACAAAAAAGAATAAACGACCAACAAAGAAAAAGTCAAGTATTAAAACAATTGATAAAGGAACCTGCACCACGTAAACTAACCCCCATAAAAAAATCCAGTGACATTACATTATCAGAAAGAAAGTAGAAACAAAACAAGCAAAGTTCTCCATCAACTTCAACAAAACCCTATCCAACGCAACCTGTAACAAATGACGTAGCTAGCTCAAAGAAAATAATAGAACAATCTAGCAACAATGCAAAGAGAAAACTATGTATTTTAAGCAATAGACATTATTCAGGCCCATTACGGTTCGTTGAAAATACGTTTTCAAGCGATTTTAAATTTTGTCGATACCTATTACCTAACACAAGCATTAAGCTTCTCTTGACTAACTTAAAGAACAAATTGTTAAATTTTAATATGAATGACTACTGTATAATTGTATTAGGTGATACTGATATAAGAGACACAAACTGTATTGAACTCATAAACACAATTGGGAATTTAATTAAGCAAATCGACTTTACCAACTTGATAATCTGTACCCCTACGTATGAACTTGGGGCACCAATACAAAATTATAAAATTGAATTATTCAATAGCTTACTCTATATAGAACTACAAAATTACCATAATATATATTTTTTTGACTCTAATGTAAACCTAACTTATGAAATGTTCTCAAGTAGAACAGGCAGGGTAAATAACTTTGGATTACGGAATATTTTCCAAACTATAATGAAACAGATATACTTTGATTTTGAATCATTTCCTTTGACTACCTCACAAGTTGACTGCGATATGGCCGTTGAGTGTAATTCTAAATCTGACTACAACACATCTCATAATTTATTTCGTGACTAATTCCTTATATATCCTCCATCAAAATATAGATGGCCTTATCTCCAAATCAGATTCATTAATGGTTAATTTAGAAATACTTAATGATGAACGTACTCCAATAGATATTATAGGCATAACCGAACACAACATGATAGCTAGTGACTTACATCGCCTTAATATAAGAAACTATAAACTTGCGTCTTTCTACTGCAAACAACAACGTAATGGCGGATCTTGTATACTGATTAAAAACCACCATGAATACGAAAACGTAAGAAGTTTAATCAACCAATCGATATCTGGTGTTATTGAATGTTCGGCAATAAAATTAGTACAACATAAGGTCTACATAGTCTGTATTTACAGACCTCCTCGGTCAAAATTAGAACTAGTGGCTCTATTTTTTAGTAAACTGGATAATATATTAAGCTCCGTTACTAATAATAGCAACTATAAATTTATTATATGCGGTGACTTCAATATTGATGTGCTCAAAAATGATAAAATATCCAGAGATTTTAAACAGCTATTATCTAAATACAATACAAAATGCCAATTTCATGAACCCACTAGACCTCGCAGTAAAACATGTTTAGATAATATGTTACATAATATTCGTAGTGCAAAAGGAGAAGTCATAGAATTGACAATTTCCGATCACTCTGCTCAAACCCTTAAGATACCTATCAAAAAAACATGTCGGCTAAAATACTGGTATACTTACCACCGAGATTTTTCTCTCGATAATATAAGGAAATTTATGAACTGCATCAAAAGTCTAAGTTTCAGTGAAGCATATGAGACAAGTTGTCCAAATAAGGCTTTCAACTCATTTCATGACCTTTTCACACTTTTTTACAACTTATGTTTTCCAGAAATCAAAATAAAAATCTCTACTTTGAACAAACCGAAATGGATTTCAAAGGGCATTAAATTATGTAGTAAAAAACGTTGTAAGCTCCTGTGGAAATATCGACTATCTCCGTCACCAACAAATAAATTAATATTTACTAACTATAGTAGAAGGTACAAGAGAATAATTAATCTTACTCAAAAGGCACAGAATGACTATTATATAGCTCAGTCAAAAAATAAATCCCAAGCAACGTGGAAGATAATTAATAAGTATAATAGCAGCCTTCCTAAGGAACAGATTAACAGTATATTAAGTAACGATAAAGAGGTAACTGAACCGACAGAAATTGCGAACGCCTTTAACGACTTTTTTACAAACTCATTGGAAACAGTCGATAAGGACAAGCCCGAACCTACTTCTATTCCACATAGTCAACGTAACTCAATTTTTTTGACCCCAATAATACCCTTAGATGTTGTTAAATCCATTAATTTATTAAAAAATACTAATAGTGTAGGTTTTGACAATGTTTCCACTAAGATTATTAAAACAGTAGGGAATATAATAGCTCACATCTTGTGCTACATTATAAATTTATGTTTAGAACAGGGAATATTTCCAGATATATTGAAATTGGCAATTACTATCCCAATATTCAAAAAGGATGACAACAAGCTGTTAAAAAACTATCGTCCTATTTCACTAATTTCAATATTTTCAAAGTTAATAGAACACATTATATATAAAAAAATAAACGATTACTTTGAAACCAATAATCTGTTTTCGAAGCATCAATACGGCTTTCGAAAAGATAAATCCATTAGTATGGCTATATACGAGTTTTTGGAAAGAGTCGTAAAAAACGTTAACAACCGAAAGCCTACACTAGCACTATTTATGGATATGACCAAAGCATTTGACAACATTAATCATAAAACATTACTTAACAAACTAGAAAGGTATGGTATAAGAGGCAACGCCCTTAAGCTAATCGAATGTTACTTAAGTAATAGAAGACAAATTACACATATAACCAAAATTGACTCTAAGACCGGTGAAAATAAAATATACAGATCGAAAGAGTGTCAAGTAAACTATGGAGTACCACAGGGAAGTGTACTGGGCCCTCTCCTTTTTATTATCTATATAAATGATTTTCCTAATGTAATCAACCATCATATGACTATTTTTGCTGACGATAGTACTGTTTTATTTACTTATGATAATGAGAATAATATAAATATTGACATTAATAATACATTGACATCTTTATTCAAATGGCTGACATTAAATAACCTAACAATTAATTTGACAAAAACACATGTAATAAACTTTAAACAAAGAAATAATTATCCTTTAAATTTTGACATTAACTACTCTGGGAATTCAATTAAAGAGGTAGACACTACAAAATTTTTGGGTTTGACTATAGATAATAAGCTGACATGGAAACCTCATATTAATAATCTAATTAAAAAACTAAACCAATTCTCTTATGCCCTTTATAAACTAAGGAAGGTTTCCAGTGTTAAAACTCTTCTAACAGCCTATCACGGATATGTTGCATCAAACTTAAGGTATGGAATAATATTTTGGGCCAACACAACTGAAAAACAAAGTGTCCTCAAAGCGCAAAAAAAGTGTGTTAGATCGATGTTCGGTCTAAATCAGGATGATTCATGTGAACCGTACTTTCGCAAATATAAAATTCTGACTCTACCGTGTATGTATATATATGAGGTTGCAAACTTTGTTCGAAATAACCCAATTTATTTTGAAATGAATACTGCCGGAAGTCGTCGTGAAGGAACATTGAAAGTTAATCACAAATGCAAACCACTTCTTCGAAGAATGTGTGTAAATTGCATGGCACCAAAAATCTATAATAAAATCCCGTTAAATATACGATTAATTAATGATATCAAAAGATTTAAAACTGCGCTCAATGGCTTCCTTGTTGAAAAAGTGTACTATGACATAAGATTATTTTTTGATGACAAAATGTAAAAATATACTTCAATTTTGTTCATATACCTCTAAGGTGAAACATGGCTGTATCTTATAATAATTTTATATGTGACATCCTGTAATACCCATGCTTATGAATTAATAAATGTTTGATTTGATTTGATTTGATTTGATTAAAGTTCCCGTTAAAAGCGAAGCAACATTTCTTGGGGTAATTTTAGACTCGAGACTTACAGGCATCCCTCATTGCTACTATATAAGTGCCAAATGTGAGAAGATTCTAAATATACTGCGCTACCTCTCTGGAGTTTGGTGGGGAGCCCACCCTTTCTCTCTAAAGCTTCTATATAATGCCCTAATAAGGAGTATTTTAGACTATGGAACATTTATTCTTGAACCCTGTAATGCAGTAGCTCTCCATAAGTTAGACATTATCCAGTCTAAGGCTCTGAGAATAATTGCTGGGGCTATGCGTTCAAGCCGATGGAAACATTGCCATTTAATTTTTAGTGATTCTTCCAAACCTGGTTCCGAGGAGTGTGTGGGAGTTGGCGTTTTCCATCAACAGTTTGGCATTGTACAGAAAATAAAATTGCCTCCAGAGACTTCAGTATTTACTGGAGAATGTTTTGGTCTGTTGAAGTCCCTGGAGTACATTTTAATAATGAAATTAAAAAACTCAATAATTTTTACCGATGCTAAAAGTGCCCTCCAAGCCTTGGAAAGATTTCCTTTTAGCAGTAACAGAAATAATCATCCAGTTATTATTGCATGTCGTGATTTATTGTATCAATGTTGCATCAAAAATTACACAGTTTCTTTTGCTTGGATTCCGGGGCACTCAGGTATCTTTGGCAATACCAAGGCCGATAGCCTTGCCAAAGCTGCAGTCAATGACGGAGATCTAGTTCCGTACAAAAACTTTTGTTGTGATTTGGCTCTCCTTCCTAAATCCCAGTTATTGAATTCTTGGACACACATTTGGCGTTCTTCAATTCAGACTATAGGTCGATATTATAGCACGAACCGTGGTTTTCAAATCTGACGTTTGGTAAAGCTATCACTTCTACCCTTATTCGTATGAGGCTGGGCCATGCATGCATTCCCTTGCATTTGGCAAGGCTTAAACTTTTGCCTAGCAATATATGTGAGTGTGGCAATGACGTTGGGGATTTTAACCATATATTCTTTGCTTGTCCTCGACATGACCGTTCCGCTTTTATTTCCTCGCTTTTGTCCATTAAAATTCCTTTTCCTACTTCAATTTCTGTCCTTTTATCTTATGTAAATATTGATGTATATAGAATTTTAGCCAGTTTCATTTTTCATAACAATATAAAATTATAATCATTTATGTACTTATATACTAAATTTACCTGATCCTTTTCCAAATTCCGTTCCAATTTCCAATTCAATAAAATAAATCTTACTTCCTAACCTTTTTGCATGGCTGACGCACAAACCGTGCAGGCCAAGAAAGGGGAAAAAAATATTATAAAGTTGTATGACTGGAGGCTTCCTGACTGGCAGGAGGAAGCGCGAATTTTTAAATTAAAATTACAAGTATAATTTTAACTACAACTTCCGAAGGAAAATTCTTTATTTTTATACGACATAAAATATAGAATAAAGAGAAACGCCGTCTGATAGTGACGGCACGGATAAAGATATGGATCACGACGCGGGTGGGAAAAGGAAACCACCAAAACGTAATCAAGACCTGCAGCAGGAAAATGATGGTTTTTATAAACCATACTACAAATTAAATTATAAAAGTTTTCCCTGAATCAATGGGAATGGCCGAATACACGGTTTTTATTGAGAGTCGTAAAGAAGGAATTAAACTTGGCAATACGAATCCCTTAATGTTGGCGGGAATTTTCAAAAACAAAATAAAAGGAGTCACTAATATAAGAAGAATAAACGCTTCTAAAGTAGGGGTGGTGTTTGCGCGGGCGATTAACACCAACGATTTTTTGAAAAATGAAAGTTTCTTAGAGAAGTATGATTACAAGGCATTTATACCAGCAAGGGCGGTGGAAACAATCGGGGTACTCAGGTACGTTCCTATTAGCATACGTAATGAAGAACAGTGTGCCTAGTGCGAGTTTTTTTACGCGTTCGATACCGAGAAAGTTAACTACAATTTGTATGGAATAAAATCAGCGCCAACTAGTGGCAATAATCGGAATCACAATTCATGAGTGCGAGTTTATTACGTCGTCGATATCGACCATCGAGCATTCACTCGCATTTGACAGTGAGAACGTAAACGCACGTGATTGGTTGTTTCAAGTATTTTGCGAGTGCGATGCGAGTGCACATTTTGATCGTTCAATACGTAACATAAACAAACTTTACGCCGTCGATATTGAAAAAGTTTTCACTTCCCTATATATAATGTACTCTGTGGTTTTCACCTAAATTTTGACAGTGAGAAAGCATAGTGAGAACGATTGTTGAAAGTTTAATTTTATTTCGTTGACAATATTTAATTATGGCAGGACGTTTTTTGGCTTAGCTTTCCATTGACGTCAGTGGAGTTTGGTGTTGTTACGTATTTTTACAGAAAGATTACACTATTATAAGCACACACTCAAAGTCTCAATATACGGAAACGCGTAATTTTTGAGAAAAGAATAATTGAATATCAATTATTCTTGCAATGTTTATGTCTAATCTGCTAATAAACTGGCGCCATTTTGTAATGTCATTGTCGACGTCAATAGGGATGTCGATTCTTTCCGAAAAAGGTCGATTTTTAAATCAATTCAAATCGTAAGCTGATGTATCGGTTCACAAAAAATCGATTTCTAAAATATCTATATTTTTTAATGTTTCTATTTATAATGTAAATATAAACCCATTTTATGAAAAACAAGAAAGATACCATGATAAATGATCTCTTATTGAAATTTGTTTTATTTAACAGTACCTATTAGGGCAGATAACAAATAAAATAGGTTAGGTTCAACTTATGTCAAAGAACCGAATTGATTGACCCCGACTCCACCTGGTACGAGTCTGTCCTACCCCTAGAGTGGTTTTATAGAGCCGGAGGCGCGTAGGGGGAGCAGCCTCCGCCTGCTGTAACAAATCGCAGGCATCGGACGAGCCGGAGCGGCTGAGGCTGGTCGCCGAAGGCGACCAACAAGCCGAAGCTGCAGAGGCGAGGAGGGATGCCTGCGATTTGTTACGCTAAGGCGTAGAGGTTGCTCTTCCCGCAGCGCCGGAGACGTAGCAGTCTCAAAATAGATACAGAAATCCTTATGAATCAGTCCCCTTATTTTTTTATGATGAAGGGGATTTTTTTCTCATAAAATGGATTTATATTTACATTATAAATGCAAACATGAAAAAAATATCGATATTTTAGAAATCGATTTTTTGGAAATCGATACATCAGCTTACAATTCGAATCTATTTAAAAAATCGATCTTTTTCGGAAAGAATCGACATCCCTATTGACGTCGACAATGACATTACAAAATGGCGCCAGTTTATTAGCAGATTAGACATAAACATTGCAAGAATAATTGATATTCAATTATTCTTTTCTCAAAAATTACGCGTTTCCGTATATCGAGACTTTGTGTGTGTGCTTATAATAGTGTAATCTTTCTGTAAAAATACGTATCAACACCAAACCCCACTGACGTCAATGGAAAGTCGTACCCGTTTTTTTCGCATGGAGGATGTTTGCAGCCGCTAAGGCACAAGATGACCGCAATTATAACGCCAATGTTGAAAGAAGAGCTCGTGCATCTTTCAACCCTTTGTTACACCTCACGGGGAAGCAATTTAAAGATAGATATCGCATTTCCAAGAAAGTCTTCAAGTTTTTGTGTAAAGAGCTAAGGAGTTTGACAAATCTTAGGTCCTCTCAACGCGTTTCCTTAGAACATAAAGTATGTATCGATCATTAAAGTATTCACATTTTTGCAACTCAAGTTTAAAACAAGTGCAAGTTTAAATATAAGTTTGTTCTCTTTTTAATTGCAGGTGCTCACTGCTCTATTCTTTTTTGCAACTGGATCCTACCAAAGGCCAGTTGGGGTCGCAAAGGACACGTCTCAAAAAATGTGTAGTGTGTACATAGAAGTTACCCAGGAGCCGAAACACAAAAATATAATAAATAAATATATTCGGTTCCCTGATACTCCAGCTGCTAGACAAGCAGTTAGTCAATGGTAATAAATATATGCTTATTTTTAAACAACCTTATGCAAATTATTCATTAGATTCGGTTAATATTTATTTTAAAATTCAGTTTTTACAGAAAATATTGTTTTTTTATTTTTTATTATTCCTTGGTTAAAAAGGGGTAGAAAATAAACAAAATGTCTTCTTTTCAGGTATGTGATGATGAATATAGAATTTTAAATCTATATTCTATATATATATAATGAATCCCAAGCAAATCATGATTCCTTTATATGGGAAAGCAGTAATTTAAACACATAAGTGCAATCTTTGCACCAAAATGGAGAAATTGTCTGGCTTTTAGGTAATATATCCACAGTATAACTTATTGAGATGTTTTGAGTTATATGAAGTATTTTTAAGTAAAACATTACTAAATAATTTCTATCTATATTATTGACAATAACATGTATATTTTAACTCTAGGAGATTCTGGATATCCCCAACGCCCATGGCTTATGACACCATTTTTAGACGCTGAGTCCAATAATTATAATGAAAAACACATGAGAGCTCGAGTTTTTATTGAAAACACATTTTCAAGGCTGAAAAATCGATGGCGATGTCTGCACAAGGATAGAGTTCTGCACTACAAGCCCGTAAAATGTGCACACATTATTTTAGCATGCTCTATGTTACATAATATAATTATTAATTTTGGTGTTGAGGATATAGAGGAAAATATAGGTAGGTATCTTAATTTTAAATTGAATTACTATAATATATTAAGCTAACTTATAAATAGTAAACTTAATATTTGTATTAATTATGATTTATTTTTAGGTCTGCAATTTGAAAGGAAAATGGTGGAATCTGATCAAATAAGTTACACAGTAAGAGAAGCTACCTCTGATTTAATTAGAGGTAGAATAAGAGATCAATTAGCAAGAAGGTTACTATAGGGATTAAATAAATAAATTTGAATAAGCTTAAATCTTTCTTTTATTTATAACCAGCCTTAAATTTTATCACAAATTTAATTAAATAATTACAATTACAATTTAATACAACAATTTAACAATTACAAGAACATTGAAACAGAACAGAAAAGTAATCTAAATTATTTTGTAGAACTATGCTGTAGCTATATTAATAGAATAGTTGTAGCATTTGTTGTGGCCTCACTCGTCTTCGAGGTGATCCTCGAGTACGAATTGGTCTTGCACGGCAAGGTGTAGTTTGCCCCGACAAAGCAGGCCCTGGTTGACTTTCTTGGACTTGAGATGATATCATAGTTGGAGTGAGCATGCCCGTATCTGTAATAATTTCAAATTTATTTAAAAATTATCACCTTCATGAATAATTAGTTCTATCTTACTTTCCATTAGTACCTCCACAAATGAAATAAGCGGAGATATTACAGTATTTGCTGAGGCAACATGAGGTTGTGTTGATGGCCCTGGGTCGTTCCAAGATTGAGAACCTTAAATATGAAAAATATAAATGAAACTTTCAACTAAATCAATATACTTAGTAGTTGTGTACAAAAACCAGAAAGACAGACAAGTTGGCTTGTAAATTTATAAAATTAATGTAATTTTTATCTATAAGTAAGATTTATTCATATTTAACTACTTGAGTGTACATTGAGTGGCTCATGTATATTTTATTACTTTTGATTTATTTGGAGAAAGAAGACTTACACACACAATACGTGGTTTAGTGGTTCCAAGTGCTGCTGCCAAGCAAAAATTTTTGGGTTTGATTCCCGGAACAAACTCAGTACTACTAGCCTGAAGATTTTATACTGTCTAATAAGTAAGTTATATATTACTTTGAACTTCCTCTGCAAAGGCAAGAGATGGTGAAGATATAGGCCTTGGCAGTGTTGGTGGCAGTTGTGGGGCAATATTTTCCTAAGCAGGTTGTGAAGTACCTAAAATAAAAAATAAAACATTGTTAATATAATATAATATGTACTGTTAATAATATGCTACTTACATTCTACTGATTGATGTGGTTGTGGTAGTATTCCTTGTTCAAGATTCACTGTGGGATTAGCCTGAACATAAGTCCCCTGAAAGAAAATACAATTTATGAGATAATATAACCTACTAGCAGGTGGTTTAATTTAAGTTAAAGTTGTAACCTGTGACAACCCAGCCTCTTCAACTGCCAAGCCCGTAGCTACTTGTACACCAATCAGATTTAGGACTCTTTGTTCCAAATCTGTCAATTTAACATGTGTAGCAGGCCCACCACCAGTACCTCTAGCTGCTTTATGTAGACGAGCAGCCTTTTTTAAATATTTACTTTACTGTAGTTTTTATACAAGCCATCCTACCTCTTGCATTATTGTTATTGGATGGTTTGCTGAGATCTCCATGCCTAAAACCAATAAACTTGTTACAAAATATAAAACAACATATTAATATGTTCCCTAAAAACTAAATAAATTAAATTCAACTTACTGCTCCATAAATGTCACCATCAAATCGAATTGGGACGAACTAGTTTTCTTATTTTTTTACTTATAATTATAATTTAATATTTTCAATTAAAATAAATAAATCGTAAGTTCACAACAAACACAAACTGTCAAAGTATATGAAAGATGCTATAATAACCACAACTTTGATAGACAGCTTCTAATATTAAGACGACTAAGTAAATATGTCATCCTAAACTTGGTTAGTTTATCTCAATTTTACATAAGATGCTCACGTGTTACCAACATAAGAGAAGGAACGAACGCGATTCACGGCGAGTAAACGCGAATCGAAAGGTTAGCTTCGATTGTAACTAGGGTTGCCAGATCGGAAGGCCAAAATATCTGGACAAAATTTGAAAATGTCGGGATTTTGGGGTTGTTGTCGGGAGAAATAAATATGAAAAATAATAACGTTAAATATTTTTTTTTTTAAATTAATGGGCTACAAAAAGGCTTAACATTGTTGACATATAACCAATTTAATTACACTTAAATTTTAGGTTGTCACATGTATTTGGCAGTGGACTTTACTGAGTCCCCCACTTTAGGTCGTTTAGTAGTATTCAGAAATGATTTAAAATTCAAACAATTTACTTGAAATAAGTACAATTCAATTACTAAAGATTCCTCTCTTTGGTATATAAATTATATAGCAAACTAAACACCCATTTACAGTATGCATTGCTTATAGGAAGCGGCAACACAAATGATATATATTATTTTTCAATTTTTTAGGTCGTTTTGGTAAAATTTTAAAATATGCTCAAATTTTGTCATTTTACATGTCCTAGTTTTTTGGAAGAAGTTCAAGTGTTTCAAAGCCAATATCGTTTGAAATATTAAGTACGTCAGGCAATACGGATAACTCTTCCCACGTAAATAAATTTGAACCTTGTAAAGACAATACAGCGAGTTTTTATATAGAGTTCTCAGAAAAGTATTCAATAGCTCGTTTTAAAAAATGTTCAGCTTTGACGCAAAAAAGGGTTTCTCACTATTGGAAACATTCAGAAACATTCCTTTATAAGGTTAGTTTTCTACTACCTAAGAATTTGTCATCCAACCTGTTTTTGAGATGACTCATTAGTTTTTTCATTACACTGTCAAGTTCCAGGACAGTGCATGGAGCACTTTCCAGTGTTAAAATTGCTACTTGGAACTCCAACATTACGTTACAAAGTACAGAGTATAAATACGCATCTGAAATCCCCTTCCTGTTTGCATTCGTCAACTCGATCACTATTATTATCAATATGGCTTTTACTTTTTGTTAAATATCTCTTTTCGACATTCGTCTTCCCCATTCAACATAAAATACTGCTTTACAGCAGACTAACAATACAGTAAATGGCCTACAGTGGGCAAAAGAGATAGCCATGTTGTCGGGACATGACGAAGAAGAATGTGACCGCGCGTGGCAATTTTAAATTATTATTTTGTATAGCACTTTCCGAGAAGCCGTTTGTCTGGAGATTTTGAGTTTTGTCGGGAGTCTGGAGATCATTTAAAATGTCGGGAGAATCCAGACGAATCCCGACCATCTGGCAACCCTAATTGTAACACACACTCGCTTGTCTTCACTTGTCGATAGGTATGACGTTAACTCGGTTAACGCGATGGTGAAGTCATTCGAATTATTTTGTGGAACTCGCACTAGGCACACTGATTAAAAACTATCATCGAAATATGAGGTCGTTGCAGTGCGTTGTTTCACAAAAAAAGTTAATGGACAGATTAAACCGTTCATTTCTGTAAGTGTAACTTTTTTGTCAACCAACTTACCTGAATTTGTACATCTGGATTTATTCCAATATAGGGTGCATCAGTATATTGCCCCGCTTTTACAATGTTTTAAATTTAATCACGGAGCCAAAATTTGTAAATCAGTGCAACGGTGTTCAATTTGTGCAGGTGAACATCGGTACACTGAATGTAAGGAAAATGCGGTAATTAAATGCATAAATTGTAGTGGCCCTCATGTCGCAATTTCTAGAGATTGTCCAATAAAAAAACAAAAAATTGATGAAAAATATAATAGGTCTACTTATGCTAAAGTCTTACAAACAAAACAAACTAAGAATTTATTTAACAATTATAACGAAAATTTCCCTTAAATGCCTACAAAAAAAAAACCAATGGACTCAAAAACAGATCAATCACAAGTTAAATCTAATGACTCTCCTAAAGTACACAAATCAAAGACGGAAACTACCCAAACGAATACCACAATTTATAATAATGACACACTTATTGACCAAATTATAACAAATGACAATATTTTGAAATCAATTATTGGAGCATTGGTGGCCATGGGTAACTCAGGTCGTAAACTGACTACATCAAGTATAAAAGAAATGCTTATTAGTAATCTTAAAAACAATGAATAAACAATTTATTCGAATTTCACAATTTAATATACAATCTGTTAATAATAAAAAATCTTTACTTATTAATTATCTAGTTGAGAATGATATAGATATTTGCCTGTTAAATGCGAGAGAATAGAACTATCAACATTCCTAACTATAATTTCATCAATCAAAATGGAAAAAATGGACGTGGAGTAGCAATATTAATTAGAAATAGTTTCAAATATTTTGTTGTCCCCGCACCGTTCTATGATTATATGCAGTCTGTAGCTATAACCCTTACTACGAGTCAAGGTAATATATCCATTTTATGTGTCTATGCCCCACCCAGTGGAGGTCGCTTTAAGGTCAGAAGATTAAAACAATTATTAACAGTCTACCTACGCCACTTTTGCATTCAGGTGACTTAAATGCTCATCATATTGCTTTTCGATGTCTCACAACAAAAACTAGAGGCACTGATATCTATAACATGTTAGACGAATGTAATTTTTGCATATTAAATAATGGATCTCCAACTACAGTAGGAAGCATTAATTTTAATCAATCTTCTATCGATATTTCATTTGTTAGTCCTTCTTTAATTCATTTATGTGATTGGCATGTATATGATGGTCAAAGTTCCAGGCTGAAACAAAAAAAAAGTTTAAAAACTTCACAATTGATACATCAAATTTACTTGATACGTATGAAAACTTCTGCCAAACACTTCTAGAAATAAGGAAAGACTGTATACCTATAATTTCCAAACCTAATGTGTTTGTTATGAGAAAACCAGTTCCTTGGTGGGACGCGGACTGTTCGGAAGCTGTAAAGAAAAGTAAAAATGCTTTAAGATTTTACAAATTAAATCCTACAATAGAAAATTATATAGAATATAAAAAGATTGATGCCTTCAAAAACAGATTAATTAGTGAAAAAAAGAAAACAAGTTGGAGACGAATTTGTGATTCATTTAATAAATATACTCCAATAACTTATATCTGGAATTATATTAGGAGATTTAAGAGGGTACCTGTACATAAGCCATCAAAAAATGATGATTGGATTCCTTCGTTTTTAGATAAATATGCACCCATAACAACACCTTCTGAAAAGGAAATAGATATTTTAAACTTAAATACAATATTTAATCAGATAGGTACTGACAGTAGCTCTTTTCTATTGAAAGAATTTACTTGGCATGAATTTACTGCAGCCATCCAATCAAGGAGAGATTCCACTCCGGGATTGGATGATATTCCATACAAACTTATTAGCAACATGCATGTTAATGGTCAAAAAACTATTTAAAAAATATTGAATATGCTTTGGGACAATCAATGTATTCCAAAGTCTTGGAAAACGCAGTGTGATACCTATTTTGAAACCTGATAAACCAGAACATGACTTCAACTCCTACAGGCCAATTTCACTTTCCTCTTGTGTAGGAAAATTATTTGAATATATGTTGAAAAACAGACTAGATTATTACATAGAAGCAAATAATATTTTACCCGAACAACAATTTGGTTTTCGGAAAGGAAAAAGTGCAGCAGAGAGTTTTGTCTCAGATATAAATCATTGTTTTAACAGACATGCAACTACAGTTTGTGCATTTATTGATATACAAAGTGCGTTTGATAATGTAGATCCTTCCATATTGGCAAATATTCTGTGTGAGATTGGTATTCCTGGAAAAGTATATAAATGTATTTTTAATTTGCTATATGACCGAACTATGTATGTTAAATTTAATAACATAATACATGGCCCTAGAAATGTATACAAAGGCACCATGCAGGGTGCTACTATATCTCCCTTGTTATATAATATATATACATGTTTAATAAGTAAATATATTAGAAACAGAAATATAAGCTTTTTGCAATTTGCTGATGATCTTGTATATACTGTAAATAAAGATGTAAATATAGCGGTAAACAATTTAAATTTAGCATTAGAGCAAATTCATGATTTTTATTCAAATATGTTGAAATTAAACATTAGTCCTAGTAAAAATGGAGCTCTCATTTTTTCCAAAAAATATTATACATATGATAATTTATTAAAATATAATAATATACCATTGCCTTTGTTACAGACAAAAAAATTTGTAGGTATATTGCTTGATCAGAAGCTAACTTTCCAAGAACATGTAAATAATCTGTGTAAAAATGCCTGTAGGGGTCTCAATGTGTTAAAATCATTAGCAGGTGTGCATTGGGGAGCTGACCCAAAGTTGTTATCAATGCTTTATAAAAGTATAGTTCGAAGTCATTTTGATTACAGCACATTAGCATACTTAAATGTAAATAGATTGATTTTAAAGAGATTAGATATTGTTACGAACTTGGGGTTCGAGACAATTAAAAACTGCCGATTGAATTACCAAAATTGACACTTTAATTACACAACACTAATTACAATCTAAAATCACACTAATAATAAAACACAGTTCGCCGTTATTTCGCTCCGAAGTATTCTCTTGTATCGCCAATTCAATACTGCCCCGGTCGTGGTCTATACCGGTCTTATATAGGGCCTCAGATAGTTTCCAGAACCTTCTACTGTAGCGACATCTAGAATGTTCGAGTACATATCGGTCCCGAAATTTCTGGAAGGATCTCGACTCTCCTAGTTCTGCTACTCGACACTAGAGGGCGCTAGTGTGACTAGTGTTGCCATGTACAAGACATTAATAGTGGCGCGCAATACTTTCATTTACTCGACACTAGGGGGCGCTAGTGTAACTAGTGTTGCCATGTACAAGACATTAATAGTGGCGCGTAACACTGCCCCCTCCTAAGACATGCTCGTCCCGAGCATTATTGGTCCCATAATAACGCGCCAGTCGATCCACATGGACAATCTTATGAGTACCTCTGGCACCTTTCTGTATCCGGTAGGTTACATCATTGATCCTTGTCACAATCCGGTACGGTCCGTCCCATTTAGCTTGAATCTTAGGAGATTTCCCTTTGCTGCGAACTGGATTGTGTAACCACACTAGTGAACCTTCATCAAAGCCCTTGTTGTTCATTTTGCGGTCATACCGTGTTTTCATCTTCTCAGACGTTTGCTGGCCCGTCTGTCTGACGTGCTCATAAATGTCATTCATTTTGTTCCGCAAGTCATTTGCATAATCGGTTATACTGCGTGGGGCATCAGGTGGTATTCCGGTGATCAGGTCTGCAGGCAGCCGCAATTCTCTCCCAAAGTTTGCGAAAGCTGGTGTCACTGATGTACTTTCGTGAACAGCGCTTCGATATGACAACAAAAACGGTTGTATGTGCCTGTCCCAGTCTCGTTGCCGTTTTTCCACAACTTTTGCTAGGTACCTCTCCAATGTCTGATTAAATCTTTCTACCATTCCATCAGATTGTGGGTGGTAAGAAGTTGTTCGTGTTTTCTGAGTACCCATAACTCGGCAAGTTTCCTGGAATATTTGGGACTCAAAATTCCTTCCTTGATCGCTGTGAATCTCTAAAGGTACTCCAAAACGACAGAAGACTTCATGAACTAGTTTATCTGCAACTGTTGAAGCTTCTTGATTTGGAATGGCGAAGACTTCTGGCCACTTAGTGAAGTAATCCATCACTACCATGAAATACTTGTTACCACTTTCAGTTTCTGGAAACGGCCCCGCAATGGCTATCCTCTCCCATGGTGCACCAACATTGTACAATTTCAATGCGCCTCTACTACGAATTTGAGGTCCCTTTACAGCCGCACAACTTGTACATTTGCGGCACCAGTCCTCGACATCGTCACGACAGTGGACCCAGTAAAACCGTTCTCGGATCTTCAGGAGAGTTCGTTTAACTCCCAGGTGGCCTCCTGAACAACCACTATGGTACAGCCGTAGAATATCCGGCACTTTAGCCTTAGGGACAACCATTTGCAAATGACACCTGTCTCCCCGACCATTTTCTCATTTACGGCACAGGACTCCATCCTGAATCAGCAAGCTGTCCCATTGGGCCCAATAGCTTTTCGTGGTCGAACTCATTGATGAGACGTCGCTCCACTTGGGCTTAGGAGCACTGGCCTTCATCCATTCCAGAATCGGCTTAATGTCCGAATCTTCCTGCTGTGCATGTTGTAGGCTGTCCTTCCACTCATTGCTGAGCTGGTCTGTCCTGAGCATTCTCACAGATACCACTTCCTTACCCTCTTGCCTAGTACAATGCTTGCAATCTTCAGGGCAAGGTCTTCTTGACAATGCATCTGCATTGCCATGAGATTTCCCGCTGCGATGTTCGATCACAAAGTCGTATTCCTGCAGTAGTTCTATCCATCTCGCAACTTGTCCTTCCGGATTTTTGAACTGCAATAGCCATTTCAGTGCAGCATGGTCAGTTCGTAAGTGGAATTTCCGCCCTAGAAGATATTTGCTAAAATGCTGCAAGGACTTTACCACAGCAAGCAATTCCCGTCTTGTGACACAATAGTTCCTTTCCGGCTTTGACAACGACTTGCTGAAGTACGCTATCACAATCTCTTGATCACCATTCCGTTGAGACAACACACCGCCAAGTCCTATATCACTTGCGTCTGTGTCAACTATGAATTCCTTGCCCGCATCAGGGTACCCCAAAATAGGTGTTTTGCACAGGCGGTTCTTGAGCTCCTGGAATGCAATATCGCAACTTTCATCCCAGCAGAATTGTCGCTTCTCCTCGGTTAGCTTGTGCAGAGGTTTGGCTATATCTGCAAAGTTCTTCACAAATCGCCGATAATAAGAGCACAAACCCAAAAATGCTCTAACCTGTGTCTTGTCTTTTGGAATCGGCCACTCCTTGACAGCGGCAACTTTCTCTGGATCCGTGCGGATACCTTCTTCCGACACTACATACCCCAAAAAACTAACTTGCCGTTTGAATAGTGAGCACTTCTTTGGACTCAACTTGAGGTTGGCACTCTGGATCTTCATGAGCACGCGTTCCAGGTTTTGAAGGTGCTCCTCAAACGTACGGCCTACGATGATGATGTCATCCAAATAGACGAGACAGGCATCTCCAATTAGCCCGGTAAGTACAAGCTCCATCAACCTTTCAAACGTTGCTGGAGCATTGCACAATCCAAACGACATGACTTTAAATTGCCACAGACCCTTTCCTGTGGAGAATGCAGTTTTCTCCTTGTCCTTAGGGTCAATTTCAACCTGCCAGTAGCCACTTTTCAGGTCCAGCGTACTAAACCACTTTACGCCTGTGAGTATATCCAGCGTGTCATCAATTCTAGGCAAGGGATAGCTGTCCTTCTTCGTAACGTCGTTCAGGCGGCGGTAGTCAACACAAAACCGCATGCTGCCGTCCTTCTTCTTTACCAGCACCACAGGTGAACACCATGGACTAGATGAAGGTTCAATAACACCATCCTTCACCATTCCCTCAATCATGGTTTCCACTTCCTTTTCACGTGCTACAGGCAATCTTCTTGGCCGCTGACGAATAGGCAATTCTTGTCCTGTGTTTATTTTGTGTTGAACTAAGCCAGTCTTTCCTATGTCAGCTTCGTTTGACGAGAAAACATTGGCGTACTTGAGTAACAACTTCTTCGCCTTGACCATTTCATTCGGGGAGAGAACGCTGCGACAGTCTTCTAAAAGTGTGGTCACTCTCGTTTGTCCATCCTTGCTAGGGGTCCCGGTCGATAGATATTCGCACCGACGCAACCAATCCACTTCCTCACTAGTACCAACCAATGTGCCTTTTTCTATAATCTGTTCCTGATCACAAAGGTTCAACACACGTACTCCTGAGATGTCGGTGGTTCTGACCAAGGTTCGAGCCACTTTCCATGGAAGGTCATTGTCTACCCTTTCCACGAGTACACAACGATGAGCTTGCCCAGGACTCCGAGGAAGACTAACCGGCACAATCGTTTCCGATCTCGGCGGAAGAACAATCTTCTTAAGGCTGTACACATTCCCTGGTAACGCCCCTTCCATGAAAAGTTCTTCTTGTCCACATTTCAAAACACCTTGCTTAACGTCGATCTCACAACAATTCTTCCTCATAAAGTCTAGGCCCAGGATGCAGTCGTCCATTATATCAGCCACGATGACATTATGCAGGTAGATCATGTTGCCTAGCTTCAACTCCATCTCCTTCTCTCCACGGACGGGTATGCGCTGACCAGTGGCTGTCACCAAATTAATGCGTTCTCGGTTGTATGCGGAGTCACCAAGGAACCGACTTATAAGTTGGGAACTGACAACCGTGCGAGAGGCTCCAGTGTCTATGGTCAGTTTACATGGCGTTCCGTTGACTTCGCCCTTGATGATTAGGCTGTTCCCATCATGAGTTTGTGAGATCGAAATCCTTGGGGCTCTTTTAACATCAGCCAGCACCCGCCAGTTTCCCTGCTGCTGCTGGGCGGTGCTATTGTCCGCACTACCCTCTCGAGATCGATCACCTTCCCTTTTTACAGTTCGCTTAGGGCAGCTGGATCGAAGATGGCCCCTTTCTCCACAGCCGTAGCACCTAGGGCTGTAGTTTTTATTGCGGTCCTGAACTTTAGCTGTTGCAACCTCCCTGACGCGGTGGGAACGATGATCCTGCCGCACGGCTTCCACCTCCAGTGCATGGGTCAAGGCGTCCTTAAGCGTCTCGTGGTGCCCGAGCCTCACAGCAGCTCTGACTTCAAGGTCGCGGATGCCGTCGATGAATGTCTGCACCAGGTTCCCTACAATAAGCGCAGGTACAGACTGGTACGCTTTTCGAACCAGCTTCTCCACCTCAAGGGCCCACTGCTGCAGGTTTTCGTTACTGCGTTGCACGCGATCTTTGAGCTGCGCACGAAAGACGTGTTCCAGGTGAGCGTCGCCATATCTCGCCTCCAATGCCTCAAGGAGCTGCTCGTAAGTCACTTCCTTACGGAGAGCTTCCAGAACAGTTAATGCCTGGTCGCGCAGGCCTAGGGTGAGAGCAGTCATGGCCTGACTTTTATTCCAGCCGTTCGCTTTCATGACAGCCTCGAACTGGATTTTATAGGCCGACCAGGAAGAAGTCCCGTCGAACGGTGGCACTTTGAATCCACGTAGCGAAGGTGTTGTAGCTACCACGGGAGCTGTAACTCCATCCCCAAGTTTGAGGTCGTCCAGCGTTTTCTTCACATCAGCCATCACGTTGTCAACCCGATTGTTCACTTGGTCGATTCGGGTTTCAGCTTCCGACAGGCGGTTGTCATGTTGAGCAACCCTATCCTTCACCTCCTTTATCTCTTTCCCGAAGGTAGCGTGAAGGTCCTTCCTGAGGAGCATCTGTTCTTCCATACCGCGCTGCAGCTGCTCTTCCAGCCGACGGGTCTGTTCCTCCTGTCGGCGGGCCTGTTCCTCCTGTCGGCGGGCCTGTTCCTCCTGACGGCGAGCCTGATCCTGCAGCATCATCATCAGAGCACCTAAGTCAGGTGCTGCAGATGCAGGAGCTGCTGACGGGCCAGCCTCCGTGGTTAGCAACTGGCCCTCCGACGTTTGCGGCGTTGCATTACCAAATCGTCTCTGGTCCGTCTCCTGTTGGCGTTGACTTCGGGTACGGATACCCTCCGTGTCGTCTTTAGGTAAAATCGGCATATTTGATCCCACTTCTGACACCAATTGTTACGAACTTGGGGTTCGAGACAATTAAAAACTGCCGATTGAATTACCAAAATTGACACTTTAATTACACAACACTAATTACAATCTAAAATCACACTAATAATAAAACACAGTTCGCCGTTATTTCGCTCCGAAGTATTCTCTTGTATCGCCAATTCAATACTGCCCCGGTCGTGGTCTATACCGGTCTTATATAGGGCCTCAGATAGTTTCCAGAACCTTCTACTGTAGCGACATCTAGAATGTTCGAGTACATATCGGTCCCGAAATTTCTGGAAGGATCTCGACTCTCCTAGTTCTGCTACTCGACACTAGAGGGCGCTAGTGTGACTAGTGTTGCCATGTACAAGACATTAATAGTGGCGCGCAATACTTTCATTTACTCGACACTAGGGGGCGCTAGTGTAACTAGTGTTGCCATGTACAAGACATTAATAGTGGCGCGTAACAATATAATTCAGAATACAGCATTGCGTATAATAACTGGGGCTATGTGCTCTACACCAATCCATGTAATGGAAGTAGAAAGTTGTATTCCTCCACTTTTACTAAGAAGGCTACAAATTGCTGAACGGTTTTGTGTTAAATTAATCAGTACAAAAAATGATTTAGTTTTTTAAAAAAATACTTCCTTATGAAGTTCCTGAGTTTGATGATAGCTCATACATTGATGTAAATATGCTTTTATCTGGTCGATTACCAGACATCCTAAGGATTGTTTTATACACACAGACCCAAACCAAAAATGTGTATCAAAGTAAACCATGGCTTTTATATAAAATAGAATATGATGCTTTACTGAACATTAATGTTTCTGTATTTCAAGAAAAGTGAATTCTCAAATGGAAACGTTAAGATATCTAGCTGATAATGATTTTTATACAATTTATACAGAAGGATCAAAATCTGAAGAGTACACAACTTCAGCATTTTATGATTCTAAAAGAAAATATCTAAAACTTTTAAAATTCACAATTTATGCGCTATTTTTACAGCTGAATGTTATGCAATCTACTTAAGTTTATTGTACATAAAAACATTGCGAATTCACAGTTTCTAATTGTAACTGATTCAAAATGTGTTATAACAGTATTGAATCTAACAAAATGGATGGCTTAGCTTTCCATTGACGTCAGTCTGTTACTGTTACTGTTACTGTTAAATAAAACAAATTTCAATAAGAGATCATTTTTACATTATAAATAGAAACATTAAAAAATATAGATATTTTAGAAATCGATTTTTTGTGAACCGATACATCAGCTTACGATTTGAATCGATTTAAATATCGACCTTTTTCGGA